GGTTAGCAGTCAAGTACCTTAGGCACTAGGCCACCAGAGCTCCTGTAGAACTCAGTAGAAGGCTATAATCCTTATGGGAACAGATCACCAGGTATTTTCTCCTGCAGAACCACTGGTAGTTTTGAACCACCAACATTTCCATTAGCAGCTGAGTGCTTAACCACTGCATAACCAGGACTTCTTTTTACACAGAATAACCAAACTAAACCAAACTCACTGCTGTCAAGTCGGCCCCGACTCATAGCAACCCTTTCTTGGGTTCTGAGGCAGTATCACTACAGAAGTAGATTGCCCAACCTTCCTTTCGAGGAGTGGTTGGTGGGTTTGAACCACCAGCCTTCTGGTCAGCAGTCAAGTGCCTTAGGTACTATGCCACCAGAGCTCCCAGATCGCATAGAATAGGAATTCAAAAAAAAAGTTAGCTCTTTTTTTTCTTCTCTTTTCCCCACAAATCCCATTTAGAATGAGAAGCCAAATCACACCCCGTTTGTGAGTCCAAATATGTAAATATTCTTCACACAGCCAACCACAAGTTAGAAATCACCAGGACAATCATGTATTTGTAAATGTGTGTGTGTGTGTGTGTTTGTACTGTACACATGCTCACATAACAAGAATTAAACTGCTTTAACCAATTTATCCCCAGTGAAGTACCATGTGCTGTGAGACAGCAAAATTCACATTTGCAGTATGGTGGGTGCCTTTGATGATGCTCTCTCATGAACGGAATACTCCTTACCTGGTGGACCACCCTAGGATCTTTGTTTTCATATCTGTACATAACCCACCACATGTTCTAATCCATGTTGCTTGCTCACCTCACTAAATAGCTCGGCATTGGTTTTGGCCTTCACCAGCTGAGGCACATCCTGTGGCAGTGTGTAATTCAGTTTATTTTTCTCATAGTCAGCGCGGTAATTCACCTGTTGGGGCAGGAAAAGATCAGCAGAGTGAATGCAGGGTTTTCATATGAGCAGAGGGAAAACCTGGAGAAAACACCCACCTTTCCATTTCCAGCTAACAAGGAGTTTCTGGGATTCAGAAAGAACCCGTGGTTTTGTAAATGTTTTAAATCAATAGATTGAATATGTCAAATGAAAAGTATAACAATCCAAAGACACTCTCAAAGCTATGAGTTTTCAAAACACCATCCCCATGACTAGCTCACTCACTCTCCTTTCTTGAGGGTATGTCTGGGTAAACACTCTTGCTGCAGTGCTAAACATTTTGCTATCTCCAGAGTAGATTCTTAAAGGGTAATTATCCAATGACTGCCTATATTAAAAAAAGCCACCTTAACTCATTGAAGAAAAAAAAAAGAGAAGGGAGAGCCAACCACACTGAGTTTCTGTTAACAGTTGTGGAATGATATGCAAGTAGATAATGGTGATAGTCACACACCATGATGAACAAAACCAATGTCACTGAAATGCACATGTGAAAAATGCTGAATTGGCAAATATTTTTTATATATATTTTTACCATGATAAAATAATAATAACTTTACCCACAAATTAAAAGAATAAGAGCCAACTAAACATTATGTGATTTTTGATGGAAGAATACAATGTCACCTGAGAAGGAGTCTTGCCCCAAAATTATACCTGAACCTGATCAAGTCTATAGCTCCAACTACCATTTTGTAGGAAATTCACAGGGACACGTTAAATGCATTCTAGAATTGATCTGCAAAACTCAGACCATGGGAAACTTTCCAGGACAAACAATCCAGTTTCTTCAACAAACTATTTGAAAGAAAATCACAAAAATGGGCCTTGTTTGGATCCTGATTGAAACAATATGTAAACAAATCATAACATTATGAGGCAAGTAATATTCTTAAGTATGAGACAATTGGATATTCATAATAATAAGAATTATTGTTAATTTCTTTGGTGTGATATGTTTAAAACATCAAAATAT